TGACACATCTGACCTGGGTCAGGTGGCCTTCATGCCTTTTCACCTGGTTCACTCCAAATAACCTCCTAACTGGTCTTCTGGCCTTTGACACCTCTGTGACCCTCTAGCCCGGGGCTTACAAACAGGTGGCCAAAGACAGGAATTGTTCTTGTTTTCTGGCCTGCATGGCCTTGGCCACCTGTAAAATTCAGGAGATGTCACATACAAGTGACGATTCCCTGCAGGCCATAGGCGGCTGCCCTACTCAGCTGGGGCCTTTGCTCCAGGTCTCTGAAACCGGCATCCCTCCCCGGGTGGCCCTGACTGTCACTTGCCCCGTACAGTCATGACTGCGGTGTTTCTCACACCTGGACCTCTTCATTCACTGACGTTTCCTGCCTAGAACCTACCGGCGTGGGAGTTTTCAACACTCTTCTGCTTACGTATCTTTCTAAAATTTGGACCTGATGGTGCCACTTTTCAGCTTAAAATTCTTTAGTGCCCGCCCTCCCCACGTCTTGGTCGGTGGATGAAGCCCCAGTATCTTAGCTCATCTGGATTCTTTTTAATCTGCCTCTTTGTCCCCTCTCAGTATTCTCCACCCTTCCATCTACCCTTGCTTCCCAAGCCTTATTCCTACCCCAGCCGTACTGAATGCCAGCCATGGGAATGATTCACATGCATTCTGTGCATTCAAAGAGGCTGTTCCTGCTGCCCGAATGCCCTTCCCTCTCAGCCCACATGCTTTTGAAGACTCGGCTCCCGCGTCTTTCCCTTAAGCAATTCCTCACTCCACATCGCAAACCGAAGACACCCCTCCATCATCGCATACATTACCCTTTCAACGGAATCATTGGCGTGTCTCTTTCTCCTGTGACGATACACCATCAAATCTTGCTGCCACCCAGCATGTGAGTTTTGACTTTGGAACTCTAATGCATCCTCTTGGTGCAGCAGAGGGAGCTTGGCCATGGGAGGCAGGCTGGTTGCTCCCTCAGCTTTGCCATTTATCAACTTTGGCCAACTTCCTCAACCGCTCTGATTCTCAGTTATCGCCATCTATACATGGAGATAATAATTCCTACCTTGTGACATTGCTATGAGGATTAGAAATATGTTGTATAAAATGCCTGGCACAGAGGCTGATCCCTAGCAGGCACTCAATCCCTGCCAATTTATACCCCCAGTAAATGAATCGGGACAAACACAGCAGACTTAAGAAACAGCCCATCTAAAGTGAGCCTGGGTAGGGGTGCCTGGGTGGCTCAATGGGTTAAGCATCCGGCTTCCGCTCAGGTCATGATCTTGCAGTTCACGAGTTCCAGCCCTACGTTGGGCTCTGTGCTGACAGCTCAGAGCCTGGAGCTGCTTCAGATTCTGTCTCTCTCTCTCTCTCTCTCTCAAAACTAAATAATCATTAAGAAAAAAATATAAAGTGTACCTGGATGGAATAAAGTAAAAGCAGAAGGGGCGAAAGAGTATATATACACGGTGTGCAGGCGATGACAGTGCTGGGGGCACTCTCAGTTTGACTTTTGCCCTCCTAAAGCCCCGGACAGCATTCAGTGAAGGACTTAATTATCAGCTGGCAGAAGTCTGCAAATGTTAGCTCTGTATCTAGAATAACGGGGATGCTAGAAGAGTATCCTAGCTAATTACTGTTTACTGTCAAATGTCATACAACTGGCTTCTTAAGTCTGTATGTGAGGTTTGCTTTGGTTTTGTTTTCCCATGTGTGAACGTCGGTGGGTGGACAAGCGTGTCTCCAGACCTACCCCGTGGGAACCCTGCCTAAGGGAGCTCAGCAAAGGGTCAAGGTGGTCGGCTCCACGCGGGTTAGGGCACTGTAGCATCCTGCTCATAGCCGGTCCTTTCTCTCCAAACTGCGAGCTCCTGGAGGCCTGAGCCTGTGTCCTTCATGTCTGTTTTCCCTGCACATAGCATAATACTGCTCCACAGCAGGCGATCGATAAATATTTGTTAAGTAGATAAATGGGTCCGTTGGGCGTTGACTCTCTCAGTTTTCTATATTTGCCGTTCTTTGCCTCCGCCTCTTCTAGATATTTGCTCTGGTGTTACCTTCTTTCTTAGGCTTTCCTGACCCCACCCCATTTATAGCTGAAAAACTCACCCCCACATCAGCATACCCTCTGGTTCTCCTGATTTGCATTTCCCCATTGTACTTGTTCCCACCTCTATTTGATATATTGCCTGACTCTCCCTGAGAGAGGGACGGCATAGTATCTCATAGTAGCTCACCACTGTATCCCCAGTACGGCACGCACGGCCTGCCTTAGACAAGGTGCTCCAAAATGTTTGCTGAGTGAACTCTGTGACAAACTACGGTGCTTAGGTATGTGCCTTTGCATCAACCTACAAACGTAAGCTACATATTCTGGGCCCCCTAACGTGGTAATAGATCGGCTACCCATACACAATAGGCTAATCGCTTTTTGCTGCTGAGAATTCATTTGTCCCGACTTCCACTCAGTATCCTAACTAGTCTCTAGGATTTCAGAAAGGGGGAGTTTCAAGAGTCTTACAGGCCCCCCAGTGATTTAGGGGAAGTGACTTGTACTTTTCCTGGTCTCTGCAGAACAGGACAATCATGGTGGCATTAGAAGGGTAGAAAACAAAAACGATAACGCTAAGTCACTATTTGCACTTGCAAGTAGTAAAATATGGAATTGCAGATTTCACCTGTTTGTAGACAGGACAAACAGTAACGGATGGCTCTGACCATCCGCAAAAACTGTTTTTCTTTCAAATGTTATCTAGGAAGTCCTAGTGTAAGGAAGGAGCATGGGGGAGGGGGAGGGCTGGCGGGGAAGGGGGCCCTCAGCCTCCCGGGCTGTTAAAATGGGTGGACTGAAGACAATCTCCTGGCTCCATCAAGCTCTAAAAGTCAATGGAGGTAAAGCAATGGAACTTTTCGTGCCCATCTACTCTTATGTTTCATGTTTATTATTACAACTGACTTAACATACCAAGAACAATTGTTATAAATCGACATTTAGACCTACAAACTTTACTTTCAGAGTTTAGTTTTTTTTCTAATTAAGTGGAAATTGTTTTCCTATGACGAATATTTAAAAATGTAAGAGTATCTAAGGACACTTATAAACTTAAAGGACCATTGTAATGACTACATTTAACTTTGATTCCTGAAGAGACTAATTATCCAGTTGGTGGACACGGAAGCCCCCTGGAGCTCTCTTCCCGTTTTTGAACACAGGCAAAGGACTTGAAAAGCTCAAATTCCAGTCTGTGAGTTGTTTATAAGCTCCAAGGACATTATAAGCAGAGGCTAAATGAGTTTTTGGCACGGTTTGGAAGTTCCTATTTTGGGTACCTTCCACCTCCACCAGCTTTAAGCTGAGAATTACCAGCACTGTGCATAGTCCGTTAATTGCAATTCAGATCATTTCACAAGTGTTAATATTTCATCTTGATAACGACTGCGTGGCAAAACACATGCTCCTTAAAAGCTATGGAGAAGAAACTTTAAAAATGAAATTTATTAATCAGTTAAATCACACTAGCCTATGGGGGAGTGTTCGCAGTGTTCCAATTTTAAATGAACACTGGGGCAGCGTTACTGTGCCAGCCAAACACCAAACAGTGGGGGTAACTGACCTCCTCCGAGATCGTGGACCACTGGCCAGTCACTGTGCAGATCTTCTGGGGTTTAAGATGTTCCTCCCATCACAAATCCAAATTCTGGCACCCCTATCCAAAACCGCAAGAACATAACACACCTTTTATTTCGCAAAGAGGAAAACGAAGCTTCTAAAATACACCAGAATAACAGAATTGTCTTCGGAAGGGACAGTCTCGTTTTCTTTTTCTCGTTTTTTATTTTTCATGAGCCTTGATAACTAACCTATGAGTTTCAGCACGATCAGGAGTATTTGTACGGGATGAGGAGTAGAATCGTTGTGCATGATCTAGCTGGGTCTCATCCTCATTGTTGGCTGCTGGGACGTCATAACTGGATGACCAGGTCCTGAGTTGGACGGAATTAATTTTGCAGAGGTCTGTGTGTTTGGGTAGGTAGAGCCGACTCAGAAACGCCATTCTGAGGCTTATTTAACTTCTCAGGCTCTGAGCACCGGGCGAACAGCTGCCCCGGGGAGGCTGGCAGCATGGAGTGGAGGCTCCCGCTCCCGAAGCCAGCCCTGCACCCGGGCTTGGGGAAGAGACAATAGAGATGCTCTGTCCTCGCCCTTCCTCAATTTAAAACCCAGGGCGCCAGGCAGGGCTTGGAAAAATTAAACCAAACACTAAGCGGAAGAAAGCCCCCCGCGTCCGATAACTGCCGATTCGTGTGGTACAAACCGACACGGAAATGAGATTGAAGGAGTTTCGAGCAAATAGCTGGGGAGACAGATACGAAGGCAGATCTAAGATGGAAGAAAAGGTGGAGGGCTCGACTGAACAGGCCAGGTCGAGGCCTGCGAGCCTGTGCGCGCACACAGCCTCCGGGCTGGGAAGGCCAAGAGCGGGACGAGTACCGCCGGCAGAGGACTAGAAAAGCCAGCGGAGGCTGCAGAGGATCGGTTTAACCGAAAGGCGGTTTCCTCTTCCTCCATTTGCTCGGCCCCAATTGGAAGCGCACTGCGCGGCCTGCGCCGCGCTCTCGGCGGGTTCGGCGTGGGGGCGGGGAGGCAGGCACGGGCGGGGCGGGGCGGGGCGCGGGCGCGCTCCGGCTCTCCTCCTGCGCGGCGCTCCCGGCGGCGCAGGGGGCGGGGCACCTATATTACGTGCGCGGCGCCGCCCCTGCGAGAGGACGTTGCGTGCTCGCTCGCGCCAGGCGAGTCTCCGCGTCTCCCTCGCGAACTCGGTGAAAGGAATTGGCGCCGTTCGACACCAGGCGGGTCCGCTCTGCAGCACGAACCCACCTCCAGCCGCAGCCGCAGCCGCCGCCCGGGCCGAGGAGCAGCCGCAGCAGCCGCCACCAGTGGCCGAGTGAGCGGAGCCGAGTTTGAGCCAGCGCCTAGCGGTGAATCGGGGCCCTCCCCATGAGTTCCTCGCCTGTTAATGTAAAAAAGCTGAAGGTCTCGGAGCTGAAAGAGGAGCTCAAGAAGCGGCGCCTTTCCGACAAGGGTCTCAAGGCCGAGCTCATGGAGCGACTCCAGGCCGCGCTGGACGACGAGGCCGGCGGCCGCCGCCATGGAGCGGGCAACGGCAGCCTAGACCTGGGCGGGGATTCCGCCGGGCGCTCGGGAGCAGGCCTCGAGCAGGAGGCCGCGGCCGGCGGCGACGAGGAGGAGGAGGAGGAGGAAGAGGAGGAGGAAGGGATCGCCGCGCTGGATGGCGACCAGATGGAGTGGGAGGAGAACAGGGCCTGGGGCAGCTCTGTCCAGCCGATGGAGGAGGAGGAGAGAACCCGCCTCAGGAAGACAGTGAGGCTGGCAACATTTGACGCTGATCAGACTCAGGAAGGGAAGATGAGCTCGGCGACGGAGGAAAGGCGCACTTGAACGACAGAACAGGCACAAGGAGGAGCAACTTGGCGCCTCAACCGCCGGCGACACTGCCTGCCTGGCATAACAGCCCCAACAGGGCCATAAAGGAAGGCCACTTGAGGGGGAAAAGGCGCAACATTACCTCGCTATTCCACTTGAGTGACCCAGTGAAAAGCACTCCGCCAGGAGCAAGGAGGCAGAGACCAACCAACAAACAGAGGAAATGAAAACGGAAGGAAGAAACATGGAGGCAGGCAGCAGTCGCCATGAGGGCAGCAGGTGGAAGTGCGATTGGCCGTGCGCGCAGCAAGGAGAACCCGCGCAGGGTGAACAAACGTGCCCAGGCCACCACCGAACCCTCCCGGAGGAGGTGAGCGAGAAACCGCCACTGGGGGAGTAGCAGGGGAGGGGGGGGAGGGGCGCGGGGAATCCATAAACCCGCCATGAACCTCAGGCTCAGGAACGGGCGATGCGACAGAGTGGCGGCAGCATACTCCATTCAGCATGTGTGCTAAGCTAGCCAGGGGGTGGAGTGGGGGGGGGGGAAAAGAAGCCACAGCTGCCGCTGGCAGAGAGAGGAGGAGGCAACGGGCAGGAGCCATCGGCCTGTTTCCGCCGCGCTGCGTGCGCGCGGTGCGGGCATGTCTCTCGGGGGGAGGGGAGAGGCCCGAGGGCCCGGGGCGGGCGCGCTTTGGCGGCGCTGGGCCGCGGTATTGTGCAAGGAGCGCAGGGTCTCGGCGTGACGTCACTTCCGGCGGGAGGGGCCGGGCGGGGAGAGCGGGGCGGAAGATCAGTACAATGCGGCCGCGGGGAACGCGGGCCCGGGTGGGGGAGGGGAGGGGAGGGCGCGCGGGCCGGCCCGGCCCCTCCCCCCTTCCTGAACTCTCTTTGGGATACACGTGGGCTCGGGGCCTGTGCCGCGCTAGCCTGCAGGAGCTTTCTCGAATCTTCGCGTAGAGTGGCAAAATTAGCGATGGTTTTGGACTGCGTCACTAACTGCAGCCCGGTTCCGAGCTGATTGTTTTTTGGGTTCGCGTTGGATTCGTCGATTGAAAACCTTCCCGGAAAAGAACGGGAAAGTCGAGCTTTTTGCGTCTTTGAACAGGAAGGGGGTTTTTCTTTTCCGCCGTGTCGCGGCTTGGCCCCTTACGCGGGGGTGTTGTGTGTTATAGGAGACGGCAAAACAGAGCAGAAAGGCGGAGATAAAAAGAGAGGTGTGAAAAGACCTCGAGAAGATCATGGCCGTGGATATTTTGAGTACATTGAAGAGAACAAGTATAGCAGGTAGAGGATGCCCATCTAGTTCTACTCGTTACCCGTTCGGTCTTGGGTAGGACAAGCTGAATCAGGAGACAATTCTGTCTTTCAGAGCCAAATCTCCCCAGCCACCTGTTGAAGAGGAAGATGAGCACTTCGATGACACAGTGGTTTGTCTTGATACTTGTAAGTGAAGCGGTTTCTCCCGTCTACTCCCCTAGTTTCTCAGTGTGGCGGTTTGGGTCCGAGAGTGTTAGAAAACAACGCAGTGCACTGAACGTAAACGCATAAAACTTAGCCTAAACCGTTTCTGTTAAAAGGAAGGTGGTGATGGCTTGTATTCAGATTTCGGTAGCTAAATGTTTAGTACAGCATCGGTTGTGTCGTATTGATAATTTTCCAGGCTTCGGCAATTTGGTTATATTTTTTTATATGACTCGAAAGTTTTCATTTGTAGGAATGTAAAATTAATGCCAGTTTTTTTAATTTTAGTTAGCTAATGGAAACTTGTAAGACTATCTGTAACTTGTCCTCGCAGGCTCCTACGATAATTTCCCTTTTTGGGGTAGAATTCTAGCAAGGGAGCTCTTTGGGCTAGTGAAATATGTAATGAATGGCTTTTCCCATTAGCACGCAAGTGTATTCCCTATTCTAAAAGATTGTAATATTACTTTTTCAATAACTGCTCTTTTGTTCTCAATTCCAGTTCAGTAGCTGCTGCTTTAACATAAGTTGATTTCTTCCAAAGACCTGGGGCAGCAGCAGTGGGCTATCACGGGGCTACTAGCTTTCTTCAGCAGCGAATGGTGTCAATGGCAGCGCTGTAAATACTGCTCCTTTACCCAAGTTGGGTTGCAATTGAGTATGAGGAGGATTGCAGACCTCTAGATGGGCCTTGGCTGTCACGTGTGTGACTTTATTTTTTAACAACAACGTTTTGTTGGTTTAACATTCGATCAGAATGCACAATTCTTTCACTTGGATAGAAAGAACAGAAGGTAGAAACAAATGCTTGAAAAGTAAGCCGTAAGGTGTGAACCTGCCCTGTAGATACAGGCAGTTAAAGTGTAGATTCCCGTGTTTTCCAATACGAATTTAATTTTAATCAGGTTTGTGAGGATGTCAACATTGACCCTGGATTTCTTACTAAATGTCCTTTACAGGTAGTTGAGCTAAGGGAGTCTTTGAAAAGAGAAAACACACACGGAAAAGTAGTTTCTTTGAAAGTTCTAAATACAGTTCGGTTGCTTAAATACAAACTGGGAGGGCATGGGTAGGACAGTGAAGCAGTGATTCAAGAAGTAACGCTACTATCAGAGTAGGCTTTTAATTCATTACTGAGGAATATTAGCTCCTTAATTTGCTACTTACATTGGGTACAAGCAGCACAGTTTGAGCCAAAAATTCTATCAGCGATCAGGAATCTTTTGAGAGCAAAGCTTATTTAAGGAGAATTCCAAACTAGGTTTAATTTCCTTTCATCAATAAAAACTGTTGAAGAAAACAGTTTTTTAACTTTAGCTCTCATGGGGGGAACTCCCAAGAAGGTGCATACGAAATGAGCCAGTGACCCAAAGGTAGCTAAGTTAAAGACCTTTTGGATTTGAGTAATCCGGGAAGTGGATAATCCCCCATTGTTATTGACTAACCGGCAAGCCTGGGGAAAAGGGACCTTAAAATGCTGTAATATGAACAGTGTTAGACAACCAGGTTTGCACTTTGTAGGGTTGAGGCTGCCTTCACAAGTTTTAGAAAGAATTTAGGATCTAGAGCCCCTGGTGTTTTAAAATTACAAAGTGCAGGATCAACGGCTCATATTCCTGTATTTTAAAATATCATGGCCTACCTTCAGTTTTATTGTGGCACGGGTAAATTCTCCCTGGTTCTGGCATACTTCACTTTGATTTCCTGCTATCCTCTACTGCTTGCCTCTAAATCAAGGTAAAGAGCAGAGCAGGTATGTATCCATGTCCCATTGTCTTGATTATTTTATATACTTAAAATACACGTTAAACCTGGCTGTTTTAGTTTTGGAGGCTGTTTACGCTTTAGTTGGTAATTTGGTGAGAGTGACTTGGTGTGGGGGTGGGGCTTAAACGGAAGGTCAGAACAGCATGGTTTGTAGAAGCAGTGTCCGTGAAGCATTAGGAAATACGCAAGAATGTAATCACCAGGTTTTGCCTACGTAGCAGCTGTATTCACGTTGGATGTCAAAAGAAATAATATGGTATTTGATATAATTACAGATAATTGTGATCTACATTTTAAAATATCAAGAGACCGCCTCAGTGCTTCTTCCCTTACTATGGAGAGTTTTGCTTTTCTTTGGGCCGGAGGAAGGGCATCTTATGGTGTGTCCAAAGGCAAAGTCTGTTTTGAGATGAAGGTAAATGTAGTTTTGTGACTTTGGTTTTTTGTTTTTTTTTTTTTAAACAAGTGAATTTCCAGTTGCTGGACACTATTCAGTGTCAGTGGGGCTTCTTTCTTTGGAAGTTTCTGTGGACTGGAAGAGGGGCTTGGAAGACCTTTGTTTTATAACCGTTAACCATATTTGTTACAATCAGAATTTGTTATTGAGCCAGTCTGTTTTTCTTTAGGGTGCTCCTTTTTTCTCAGGCACTTGAAAGGCCCACCAAGGGTTTAAAAATAACTGTTGGGTTTCTCGTTTTGTCCCAGAGCAAAGCATGTTGAGCGTATACTTTCATCGGGTTTTGAGTCAGGAATATGTAATTTTTAAACATTATCTGTTCTTTTAAGTGTGATCCAACCAAGTACTTAACTTCAGCCTTTTCAATTCCAAGTTACAAGTTCTGTCAATTTGTAAAGTTCTTATGGGGGAGGGGGGAGATGACAGGGTAGAATGAGTGTCTTTGTATTAGTAGCCAGAGAAGAATTAGCCCATGGCCCAGATGAAATGAAGCTAGAGTTCAAGGGTTTATCTTCATTGTAATCATTTATGATTTGACTTTCAGGTTACAGAGAAGATCCCAGTAAGGCATTTGTATACAAAAGATATTGACATACATGAAGTTCGGATTGGCTGGTCACTAACCACAAGTGGAATGTTGCTTGGTAAAGTTTCCATTAGAGTACTGTCCTCATGAGTGTTCAGGGTCTGATTTCAGTAGTGAGACTAGAAGTATTCTAATTCTGTCTTGTTTGTTTTTAATCTATTTTGTTAGTATTTTAGAGATGAATGCTATTAGCATGTGTAGTAGGATGGTTACTTGTTTTATGACCAGTGGTTAGGAAAAGCATTATCCTGTGGTCTGCAGTTTTTCAAATAGTTATATAAGCCTTGTAGCTCTCATTACTTGTCTATGTTTTAGATACAGCATGAGTGGAAGAATGTTAGGTTAGGTACTCATTTATATTGTTGTTCTCTATCCTGAATGTTAAAATATGTGGGTCATGGGACTGTTTTGAACAATCGATTTCACGAAAGTTCATTATTTTCTTAGGTGAAGAAGAATTCTCTTATGGGTATTCTCTTAAAGGAATAAAAACCTGCAACTGTGAGACTGAAGATTATGGAGAGAAATTTGATGAAAATGATGTGATAACATGTTTTGCTGTAAGTCAACTAAGTTTCTGTATATAAGTGAGCAGTTACTAGCTGGGGATTTTTTTTTACAAAGGTTTATCAACATTGGCCTTCATTACTAACCCATTTTGACTAAAAACTACTTAACGTGAACTGGACCTGAAAAATCTAGTGTATTGTACTGAAGGCAGTATTGTTTCTGCTTCTAGATGTGTGTGTCTCATTGTTTATAACTATTCTAAAGCTCCTAACGTTTAACCTAAATCTGTTTTCCAGAGGGTAAGCTTCACTCAACTTGAATTTTGAGGGTTTTTTAAAGCAAGTTTAAAGGAAGCAGGTTAAAATCTTAATTTTTTTCCCAACTTAACAGAACTTTGAAAGCGATGAAGTAGAACTCTCCTATGCAAAGAACGGGCAAGATCTTGGCATTGCCTTCAAAATCAGTAAGGAAATTCTTGCTGGAAGGCCACTCTTCCCGCATGTTCTCTGCCACAACTGTGCGGTTGAATTTAATTTTGGTCAGAAGGAAAAGCCATATTTTCCAATACCAGAAGATTATACTTTTATCCAGAATGTCCCCTTAGAGGATCGAGTTAGAGGACCAAAGGGGCCTGAAGAGAAGAAAGATTGTGAAGTAAGTGGATTTTTTTAAAAGCATTTGAAGGTTAGTTTTGTTTGGCAAGAATGACATTCAGAAGATCTGGATGAATGTTCTGTTTCATGTGCTTTGTGGCACGGCTGTTGGCATCAGCTGTAGCTGTGTTTTTTGATGTAGAATATTAAGTTTTCCAAAAATTCCCTTGTTTTAGGGCAACGAAAATTTACAAATTGAAACTGGGTTTTTGTGCACTTCACAAAGTAACTTCAGGAATTTTTAGATGGCTCTACTAAGTGAAACATTTTTTTTCCATGGTAGGTTGTTATGATGATTGGCTTGCCTGGAGCTGGGAAAACCACCTGGGTTACTAAACATGCGGCAGAAAATCCTGGTAAATACAACATTCTCGGAACAAACACCATAATGGATAAAATGATGGTAAGAAAAATACTGAGGGTGTGATCTCAGCACTTTAAAAAGACCAGAAGGCATTAAAACTTTTTTGCCTGTTGTCTTTATCCATTTTGCGTTGGTGTTTTAGAGATAGGAGCTTGGGCAAAGTTCCGTTGGTTACTTAAACTATAGAAGGATGTAAACTACTTCTGTCTGGAAGGTAAAGTGCCTTCCAGGGGCGACGCTTTATTTTTTCTAGGAAACTTTGAACTATCGACATTTAGTAGCTGAACTTAGGAGAGCAGAGGATCTTGCTTACATGATAAAATGACCTTTTTTGTAGTGATGATAAGGAAAGGCAGTATTTAAACTTTGCAATGTCTGGTTTCCATGTAGATCTAAGCTGATATTAAAAAAAAATTGAGCTTTATTCATAAGTTCAAAGGAACTGTTGAACTTTTAAAACAGGTGGCAGGTTTTAAGAAACAGATGGCTGATACTGGAAAACTGAACACGCTGTTGCAGAGGGCTCCACAGTGTCTTGGAAAGTTTATTGAGATCGCTGCCCGTAAGAAGCGAAATTTCATTCTGGATCAGGTGAGCTGCAGCCTTGAGGTTATTAACAAAAGGAATTGATGATTGGGTTTGGCGTGGAGCTAACATTTGGGTTTATGAACTTTGTTTTAAAGACCAACGTGTCTGCTGCTGCCCAGAGGAGAAAAATGTGCCTGTTTGCAGGCTTCCAGCGAAAAGCTGTCGTAGTTTGCCCAAAAGATGAAGACTATAAGCAAAGAACACAGAAGAAAGCTGAAGTAGAGGGGAAAGACCTACCAGAACATGCTGTCCTCAAAATGAAAGGTATGAATTTAATTCTATTAACGTTAAAGCTGCCGAGATCTGTACCTGCAAACTCGCGTGAACGTTTGCCGGTGATGCCGGTTCCTGAGTTACCTTCGCTCTTTGTTAAGGGAGTGTGTGTGGGGGGTTTATTTCTCTCTTCAGGGAAACGCTCGTACACCGAGCAGATGGCAAAGCGTGGTTTGAAAGGATGAAAGCAGGCTTTAGGACTGTGGTCTGGGGCTAATCTGACCCTATTCCTTGTAGGAAACTTCACGCTGCCAGAGGTGGCCGAGTGCTTTGATGAAATCACCTATGTTGAGCTGCAGAAGGAGGAAGCCCAAAAACTTCTGGAGCAGTATAAGGAGGAGAGCAAAAAGGCGCTGCCGCCGGAAAAGAAACAGAACACCGGCTCCAAGAAGAGCAATAAAAATAAGAGTGGCAAGAACCAGTTCAACAGAGGCGGCGGCCACAGAGGACGTGGCGGGTTCAACATGCGCGGCGGGAGTTTCAGAGGAGGAGGCGAGTTTGCTTTTGAGTTTCACTTGGTTGGAGGTTGGAACGAGCGATGACCATCTTCTAAGTTTGGGGGCTGGGTGGTGGTCAGCTGAATTTAACACAGGACAGTTGACCTCCCTGGACTCTGCTGCCCTAGTAACTAGCTTCAAATGCCATGATGTGATCCTAAGCA